ATTCCTAAGTATTTTATTCCTTTTGATACTATTGTAAATGAGACTTTTTTCTTAATTTCTTTTTTCAGATATTTTGTCTTTAGTGCATAAGATCCGGGGGTTCTCTTTCCCTGTGATGTCCTCACAGAACTCAGTCCAACCAGTCCCCGATATCCTTTAAACTGGACTCCATGTTGTCCCCAGTTGCTGGCAAGTTTTCTCAGCAGGGCCAACTTTGTGGTCTCTATACTGAAGGCCCAGGGTTCTTCAGTTTGCAGTTTGTGTCCATTCCTGTTGTGTTCCCAGAGGTCCAGTTTGTTCACGTATGCATGGAGCAGAGGTAGAAAAATGGAGAAGAGTGGAGGAGAGTCCTTAGCTCTGTAAAGCAAGCATGGGCCTCTAGCTGAGGCCGAAGAATGGTGTGTGCACCTGTCCCAAGTTTGGTTGTAGGATCGAGGGGTGTGTGAAATTCTTAGAAAGGAATGTCTCGGGTCTGGTTTGAGCACCTGGAAGTGGGTTTTTGGGTGGTTGTGGAGCTGCAGGATTGTTTTGAAATGCCGTAGTGCCTTAGCTCAGGTTCTCTGGGACATAGATGCTGAGACTGAGATTTGCATGCAGAGGTTTAATCGGGAAACTCATAATCACTCTTGAGGAGGACTGAAGGCGTGGAATCAGAGAGAAAAGTTATCGTGCAATTATAGCTGACCTTTATACAACTCAGGAGTCAGAGGTACTTGCTTGTGCAGTCAAAAATCCACATACAACTTTTGAGTCTCCCAAAACTTAGCTACTAATAGCCTTCTGTTGACCTGAAGCCTCAGTGATAATAGTAGATTAGCAAATATTGTATACATCATATGTATTACATACCGTTTTCTTACGCTAGAGTAAGCTAGAAAAAAGAAAATTTTATTAAGAACATCATGGGGAGAGAAAATATATTTACTGTTCATTAAATGGAAGTGGATTATCGTAAAGGTCTTCATCTTCACCATCTTCACATTGAGTAAGCTGAAGAAGAGGCGTCTTCCTGCCTCAGGGCTGGCAGAGGTAGAAGAGATGGAGGAGGTGGAAGAGGAGGCAAGAGAGGCGGATACACTGAGTGTAACTTTATAGAAATACATCATAATTTCTTCTGACTTTTTTGCTTTTTCTTTTCTCTAAAAATGTTTCTATATGGTACCAATCCTTTTTTCACCATTTGCTTTAGTTTCAGTGCCTGTATCGTTAAAGGGTTCATGTCATTAAGGAAACTAAAAGCAGTCTTGAATAATGAACTCTTCTGCCACATTGTCTAATATCAATTTGTTTAATCTTCTTCTTCCTGTCACTGTTTGGAAGCACTCATCTTCATCGAGTTGTCTTCTGTGAATTCCTCTGGTGTGGTGTGTGTTAGCTCTAGAATTTCTCCACAGTCCATATCTTGAAACCCTTCACCTCTCACTTATTTTGGCAATATCTACAATCTCTTTTATGATTTCTTTAATTGATTCTGTCATAAATTTTGTGAAGTCATGCATGTCTGGACACAGTTTTCTCCAGCAGGAATGTATTGTTTTGATGTTTTTCATGGCTTTTTCTGTAATAATGATGGCATCTTCAATAGTCTAATCCTTCCAACCTTTCATGATATTCTCTTTGTAGGGTGCTCTTCCATAGCATTGACAATCCTTTCCATAGAGAACCTGTCTAATGAACCTTATCCTTATGACCCCCTGATCTAGAGGCTGAATTATAGGGATGTGTTTGGAGGCAAGCAGACTACTTTGACATCTTAGATGTCATGGAGTTCTAGGGGGCCAAGGGCATTGTTCAACATCAAAAGAGCTTTATTATTTTTTTCTTTCTTTTCTCTTTTTTCTTTTCCTTTTTTTTTTTTTTTAGATCTTTGCAGTGACTTGGAATAAAAGAACTTTGAAAAGCAGTCCCTTACTGGCAAGTTACTTTCTGACTTTAGGGACAAAGCATCAGTGGAAACAATCCAGGACAAAGGTTTCTCATCCAGGCCTTCTTTGTGTACAACCAAAA